CAGCGGAACTGAGCTGGGATGACGGCTCATGTGCCCGCAGATAGGGCTCTGCATGCCATAGGTTCACCATCACAGTTCTAGGGTCTCCTCCTCTCCCTTTAACAGTAAAGAGAGAGGAAATGTGACATGTTTTCTAGCCTTGAGAATCCTCAACTTCATTAATAAATCTTCCCCCAATGGTACAGATGAGATCCATGACTTTCTTTAAGAGTACGAATACATTTAAATCTGCCTCTAACTTTTTTTAATTACTTTGCAAAATGTGTAATTTAGATTCAAATTAGCTGTGTTCTGGGTTTCAGCTAAAGGCATATCAATTCTTTGAAAACTATCTGTTCAGCTGGGAAAAAAACCTTTATAAAAATATGAAAATGCTTAAGAGACAAGTCTACTTATTTAAAAAAATGATAATACAGAGGTTAGAGACTGCAGAGATGCCAACCCCTTGCTAGTTGAGCCCTATCCATCATAATAATGAGAAGGCTGAAAAGAAATAAATGGTTTCCTAGTAGATAGAAAAAAAATATCAATAAGTAATTTAAAAGACAAAATTGATTGATAGCCTCTGGAAGAACGCATCAATGCTATTTCTTCCCCACTAACTTGCTGAAAACATCATAGACTTCTGGTTTCTCTTGTGCAAACTGCTCCACTGTATTTTTCTGCAACCAGTCAGATGAGCGCATTTGTTGCTGAAGGAGACCAATTAGATCGCCAAGGGTGGAATTCCCAGAGGAAGTTGATTCCTGGTGGTGGGACACAAAGATCACTTCATCTGTGCTGTCTACTGTGCCTTCTGATTCAGACAGACACAACAGATCTTTGTCTTCATTCAGGATTTCACGTTCTTGTTCTTCTAGTACTTCACACAGTCTCTGCATCCCTGGAAAAATGGGTGGGAAGTAAGGAAATTAGATAGGATGAAATAAAAGTTGGATGCAGATATTTGAGAATACATTAATAAGAGTAAAAACATAGCCACCATATTTTTCCTTTGAGCTAAATTGATAATCCAAACAATGAACTTACACTGATTCCATGAAAATCTATACCTGCCACCAATTATCTCTTTTCTAGTAAATGAATCATTCCAGGACTTTTTGGTTCACTTAAAAGTGTTTCAAAATGTGTTCAAACCAACTAAATAAAATATGACTTATTACTTCCCAAAGAAGTGTCCATGACTTGAGAGTCACTTACTCCTACTTCTCTTGTTCTAGAATGCCCATCTGTCCTCTATTGGTTTAAAAAATAAAGACAATAAAACCAGAATGCAAAGAAGAGCTAGGATGGTAAAACTAAGGAGGAAAGAATGGTATACATAACATTTGGATAACCAAGTTGAATACTGTCCATCAGGTGTGTGTACATATAATTCTATCTAGCATTTTATTGCTAATTCCATTTGCCCAGGAGTGCAACATCCTATCTTACGTGGTAGGAGTTGGATCACCTATTGGGTTAATCTTGGATACAATATGGATGAGGGCAGCACTAACCTAGCCGCAGTCGATTAATCTTATCAGAAAAGATGATGCGGAACCAGCCAGGCTCATTGCACTCAAATAAGATACCAGGAGCGAGTAAGACCTTTTTGTCCAGGAAGCGTCTCCACAGTAGCATCTCCTCTTCAAATGTTCTTTTTCTTAAATACTGGAATCAGTAAAGAAGAGAATAAACAAGTAAAAAAGCCAACCTTATAGTCCTATAAAAAGTAATTGCATCATTCTCTCTCAAACTGCAGAAAATTTAACCCATGCAGGATGGATAGACGATCTTGTCATCAGATGCGACAAAGTTATAACTCCTAGTAGTCCCAGCCAACCCAACCAATGATGAGAGATGATGAGGTCTGTAGTTCAGCAGTCTTTGGAAACCATAGATTCCCTACTTCTTCCCAAGAGATTAAGGGTAGACTGAGGTGCAAAAAAGTAAAATCTCTTATCCAAACAGCAACAAAAAAGAGGCATTTATGATTGTGTATATGTGAGTATGCAGATATGTACATAATGCATGTACATATAAAACACACTCAGAATGATGAGTATATTTCAGCCCTCCCAAACTTGGACTCTCCAAATGTGTCAAATATTTAAATCCCACATTTTTAAATATGTATATTTGAGCTACCACTATTTTTCCCATTTTAAAAAAAAGTTAGACATTGACTTGATTTATGTCAGACCTTTCCTGAGACCAAGAAGAGAATTTCTGGTCTATCCAATCTATCCATTCTGTTTCTCACAAAGATCAATCAAACTAGATTGTAAAGACATTTTCTGTTTTTTTGTCAAGTTTAACTAAATGGAATTTGAGATTCTAGAGACAAACTATAGAGAAGACCAGTTGCCTTCATACCCTACTTGTAAAAATAACCATATATATTTTTCACTGGCAAAAAGATACATTCAGAAGTGAAATTCAGGTTCTGACATGTTCTAGAGAACCGGTAGCAGAAATTTTGAGTAGTTCAGAGACCCGGTAGCAGAAATTTTGTGTAGTTCAGAGAACTGGCAAATGCCACCTCTGGCTGCTCCCAGAGTGGGGTGGGAATGGAGAATTTACAGCATCCTTCCCCTGCCACACCCATCAAGCCACACCACACCCACCAAGCCATGCCCACAGAACCGGTCGTAAAAAAAATTGAATTTCACCATTGGATACAGGGCATCTAAAGACTACTGACCTTTCGGAAGTCAATCCATATAAAAAAACCTGCACTGCGGTTGAGGAAGGGAATTCCAAGGGTCTTGAGTTCATCTGTCACAAAAGTGTGTGCAGCTTTCAATCTCTCATGGTTTGCGGGTAAGTATACTTGGTTGATCCAATCTAGCCAAGATTAGAAAAATACTTAGCAAAAACACAAATATATATTACTGCTTAATTTCTAAAAGCCTGATAGATCAATGGATGAATGAACTCCATTGAAAATACTGCCCTTTATGTAAAATAAGGCAACATTCATATTCCACCTGCTGCATTTAATCTGTGATAATTCATTTGTAGACATCATTTGTCACTGACACTGGATAAGAATGTGTATATGTAAACTAGGCCACAACGAAAACAATGGTCAAGAATTTCCAAGGCTATATTTTGGATGTGCTTGAGTGTGAACACACACATAGGTTTAAGTGAAGGGAGATAATATAAACATGGTCCTGATGCAATGTGAGGGTTTAAAAAAAAACAACCTCAAATTTGTCAAGCTGGCAATCACCTTCAATATATTTCCTGAAATTCTAGGATACAACTCAAAATTATATGACAGGTAGATATTTTTAATTAAAAAAATAGGAACACCTGTAGCAAAAGTCTTTCCTCAAGAAGATCAATAAATATAGATGATCTCAGGTTACTCACCTCTGTCTTTGAGTAGCTCAGCAATTTGGTATTGTATGGGCCCAGAGATACCATGAAAGTAACTAAAAGAAGACACAGCTTTGATAACATCTTGGTTTAGTGTGTACAAGGCACCAAACCGGATTCCAGACACAGCAAAATCCTGTAAATGAAGAGAAGAATCACCAATCCAGCTTCTATAATGTAAGTACTGTAAATATTTTGATTCAATCAACATTCAGTCCAGGAATTTAAGAGAGTATCAACTAAATAATTGTAGAATAATACTTACCTTACCAATCCCCCACAACAAATGGGTCCTTTGTGGATCAGGCAATCTGTATGTAAGAAGAATACTTATATGAATATTTCCAATTAATAACTGAGATTTCTTGATCAACCTTTTCCACTCTGGTGCTTTCTAAATGAGTACCACTCCCAAAATTTCCAGAGATAAAGTCACCTCATTTGGAGTCATGGGAGGTATAGTAAAGCACACTTCAAGGCATTAAATTAGGAAAGTTGTTCTTGACTATCAACCCAGAATGCCAAAACAACAAAGAACATAATAATTATTGATATTGTTAATAGAAACGTCATCTCATAGGGCCAAAATGAATCACCTGTTAACTTTGTGAATATGGAAAAAGTGGAAAAACGGAACTTTTAAATGTCAACAATATCCCCCACCCCCTCCTTTACTGGAAGTGAAAGCAGAAGCTTCGAAGAGAAAGTTTCTGTCAGGATTATGTCAATATACAAATAAGTGATGTGCGGTGAGATTTATGGCTGGTGAGGCAAGAGGGGAAAAGCTGCCCTGCCGCCCCGGCGCTAGAGGCAAAAGCCGCCCTGCCGCTATGTCCGACATAGAGGTGTCCCGCCTCTATGGCGGACACAGTGCTGGGGCGTCCAAAGCCCTGCCACTATGTCCGACATAGAGGTGTCCCGCCTCTATGGCGGACACAGTGCTGGGGCGTCCAAAGCCCTGCCACTATGTCCGACATAGAGGTGTCCCGCTAA